TAATTAATTATTTTTATTTAATATTTTCTTGAATTTAAATCTTTACCAATTTTCATTGGTTATCAGTGTTTTAAGAATTTATTTCATTACTAAATATCACTTTTTCTGTTCTTCTTTTGACTTTATATTATTTATAAAATATATGTTTTATTTTATCTCAAATCTTGATTCCTTAAATTTTATGTCATCACTCTTTTGAAAAATTATGCTTTTTATAAAAAAGAGATTATAACCATTTAAACTGTTTTAATTGTTGTTTATACTAATTTGGATGTTTATTGAATATAAAATGTTAAAAATTAATTCACTATTGTTATTTAAAATTTCTCTTTTTAAAAGAATTTTATTAAATTGACTCAACTTAGTTTTATCCAAGAAAATAGTAAAAAGATGTTTTAAAATGTTTTTATTGCTTTCTTGTTTTGGATATTTTAATTTCTATAAATGAAAATGATTGTTTTTCTTAAAAAAAACTTTCAGTTCTTTTGAAAGTATTAGATTATAGTATTTAAATCTTTATTATAAATTCATTGTTTTCAAGTGTTTGTTTCTAAATTTTTCGTAATATAAAATAAAATAAATTATCAACTGAATAATTGGAATCTTTGTTTGTTTTAAATAAAAAACACAAAGAGAGCGGAATTTTATAGAAATGTTTCGTTGTTTCGATGAGGGGGGAACTCAAAATAAAAATGAAAAGGAAATGAAAATCTAGTTGAAAAGGACGTACTAAACCTATTTAAGAGGAAAAGAACTCTTGAAAGAAAATTAAGTTAGCTTTATGACACAACCACTTTCAGTTTGTATTATTCAAGCAAATATTGTTGCAGAAAAAATCGACAATAACTTGGCTCATCTTCGAGAATTAATAAATTCTATTAATCCAAAGAAAAATGTAAACTTGATTGTTCTTCAGAAACATTTTCTTGTGGTTTTACTTCAACACCATCAAAAGTAGCTGAGCCAAGTGTTAATGGTAAAACACTTCTATGGATGAAGGATGTTGCAAAAGAGAAAAATAGTGCAATTGTTGGTTCTACTGTTATAGAAGAAAATGGAAAATATTATAACAGAGTCTATTTTGTAACTCCTCAACAAGAAGTTTATGAATATAATAAACGTCATCTCTATACAATGGGAAATGAAGGAATTTGTTTCACAAAAGGTCAAAAGAAGACTGTTGTAAATTATTTAGGATGGAAAATAAATTTAGCTATTTGTTATGATTTAAGATTCCCAAATTGGTTAAGAAATTCTAAAGAAGATCCTTATGACATTTTACTTATTGTTGCTTGTTGGAGAGCTGAAAAAAGACATCATTGGATTACTTTAACAACTGCCCGTGCTATTGAAAATCAATGTTATGTTATTGCTTCAAATAATTGTGGAATATTACCTGATACTACCCCAAATTGTCCTGATGTTGTTTATACTGGAGATTGTAGATTTGTTGATTATTTTGGATATTCTATTAAAGAGGCAAAACCTGGAGTTGAACAAATTATTTATTCAACTTTGGATTACCAAAAACTTCTCGATTGGAGAGCACATTTCCCAGTTTTGAATGATGCTGATTATTGCGAGCTTTCGATTGAAAATGAAAATACCAATTGACTCTAATTTATATAAGAAATAAATTAGTTCATTGTCATCTTTTCTTTGGGTTAAATCAAATAGGTAATGAATTAAGAGTATTTGCATCATTTGAGTGTCGAGAACAATGAGATATTCTATGTAATTAGTTAATTAATTTTTATTATACTAACAAAACAAACAATGATTTAATGTCTGATTTGATTAATGACATAATCTGTAAATGAGATTGTGTATTAATAGAATTTTCTGGAATCGGTATATAAATTATTAAACAACCAATGAACCTCTTAATCACAGTATCAATAATTGTAATTAGACGAGAATTAAATAACCAATCCAGGAATCCTCTTGTATCTTGTTGTATTAGTTTTATATTAACTTATTAAAAACATAACTCTAAACCAAAAAAAACAAACATAAAACTCCTATAATAATTCCACAAAAATGACCAGATAAACTTACTTGAGCTAATAACAATAAACAAAAAATATAACTAATGATATTTAAAATACAACAATAAATAACATCCATATATTTTCCTGGTTGATAATAAAATATAATAATTAACGTAAATATATATCCACTCATGCCAACAACAGAATTACCTGAAGCAAGTTTTAATGAGAATAAAGAAATCATTAATATTGGTTGAAGTATTATTGATAAAATGAATAATATAATAATTCGTGTTGTCCCAATTTGTTTTTCTACTAACGCCCCAAAAACAAATAATGAAATTGAATTCCCAAATAAGTGTAATATTCCTTCATGAATAAAACAATGATACAACATTGGCCCAACTTGATGTATAAAATCACCTCGAGATTTTAAAGGAGAAAATCCTTTTGGTTCAATCTCTAGTTCAGGAAGTATAAAATATACACCCCAAATAATTATTAGTTGAACAGTACTTAAGAATGAAATGTTTTTAATGCATTCTTGACAATATTTAGTAATTTCATTAAAACTCACTAAAAACATCTTCTTCTTTTTTTGTTTTTGAGTTCTTGAAAAAAGAAAGTGAAAACAAACTTACTATTAAATTATAGTAAAAAAGACAAAATTAAATTAATTCTGATGCATTTGTTTATTACGAGCTTGGTCAATAATTTTTTGTTTCATTTCTTTATCAACTTTCTTAACTATGTTATTAGTCTTTTCCGAGATCCAACTTAATTCAATCTCATATGGTTTGTCTTTCCATTCACTATGACATAAATCAATAATTTCTACAAGTTTAATTAATGCCTCTTCACATGTGATTTGTGAGAAATTTATTTTTTCTAACTCATTTTTACATATTTGTTTTCCTTTACCAATTCCATTAGCAAAATATCCATATGTTGTTCCTGATGGTTCAATGTAATGAAGGGAATATCCATGTTGATCAACTCCTCCTATTAATAAACTACATCCAAATGGTCTTAATGATCCATACAATGTATAATTTTGCATATACATAGCAATCTTTTCTGCTAATACTTTTACTGGAATATTCATTCCATAATTTTCTTTGAATGACTCAGCTTCTTCTTGTGCTTTCTTAGCTAATTTTCTTGCATCAGGAAGAAATCCAGCGCAAGTGATTCCAATATGAGTACCGACATTAAATATACGTTTGTTTGATGATTTATCAATCATTTTTGATATTATTAACTTTTCTACTCCAAATACTACTCCATCAACACACTTAATTGAAAGTGCTGTTGCACTGTTTTCAACTGCTTTCATTGCGTAGTCAATTTGAAATACCTTTCCATCAGGTGAAAAGGTTGTACATGAATCATCATATCCTGATCCAATTGAACTCATTCTTGTAATCTTTTTGAGTTATTTCCTTTTAGTTTTTCTTTTTCTCTTTTTTATTTCAATTTCATTTTTACTATAATTTATAGAATTTGTTTTTTAATTTTGTTTTTAAAAAAAAATATAAATTTATAAAAAGAAAAACACAAATAAAAAGAATAAAAAATGTTATTAAAAACCCTTTTTTTTTATAGAACAAAATAAGAATAGTTAAATGAGCAAAACAAGTGAACCAAAGAAATCATTTCACCGTAAGAAAGGATGGAAACGACTTGAAAGAAAAGAGCCAAAAGTAATTGAAAATACTAAAACAGCTATTTTTATTAAAGGTCGAAATACAAGTAAAATTTTAACAGATGTTTGTGAAGACCTTGCATTATATAAAAAGCCACACGTTATAAAATTTAATCATAAACATGAAATTCTTCCATTTGAAGATGAAAGACCATTAGAAGTTTATAGTACAGGAAGAGATGCATCACTTCTTGTTATTATGTCACATAATAAGAAAAGACCTAATTGTTTAACATTTGTTCGTATGTTTGATGGACATGTATTAGATATGGAAGAGATGTTAGTTAAAGAATATAAACCAATTCACGAATTTGAAGGAGTTAAACCTCCTTCAGCAACAAGATTAATGTATAGTTTTAATGGATCGGAATTTGAGACAAATGAAGAATTTAAAATGTTTAAGAACATGATAATTGATTTTTATCATAATGATGTTAATGAGAAATTAGTTGTAGATGAATTAACTGCTATGATGGTTTTTACTGTTGTAGAAGGAAAGATTTATATGACTGTTTATTATATTAAAGCTACATCAACTTCTATTGAAAGTCATGAAGTTGGACCTCGTATTGTCATGGTACCTGGCAGAAACAAATTTGGAGCTGAAGATATGAGAGAAGAAGCAATGAGAGTTCCACAAGAACTTGTTGCACCAAAGAAAAAGAAGAACGTTTCAAAAGATATGTTTGGACAAACTATTGGAAGGGTACATGCTATTGGTGAAGATTTAGAACATCTAAATAAGAAAATTAAATTACCGAAGGCTTTGAGAGAATCAAAGAAAGAAAAAAAAATGAGTAAGAAATAATTGATTGGTGATTACATTTTTTTAATTTATTCAAAAAATTATTTTTCTGTTCATATTTTCAACAGAAAATGTTTTTAAGTTATTTGATATTTGATACTTTCATCCAAGAATATTTATTATTTGTCATTTTTTGGTTATCAAATTATACTTTTTAATATATTTAAGACAAATCATAAAATATCAGAAAAGAACTCCACATAATCATTACTAACAAATAGTTTTATTGTAAAAATTATTTAAATACTAACAAACATTCATAATGTTCCATAACAATTCTTTGGTTAGTTTTCATAAAAGTAATATTATTTTTATTTATTTCGTTCTTTATTTACCATTTTCATCTTTTTGGTAAGGGAATATTCTAAATCCGTTAATATAATAAATTAGATACAATACACTTTTCATTATTATAAACTACCAAAATTTCGGTTTATATTATTCATAAATTTATTTAATTGACACCATCTATCATTTTTTATTACTTCTCAAACACCTGAAAAGATTTTACCTTTTTCAACAAACTTAATCATAAATTTATTTACCAAAAAAACTTTTAAAAACTTTTTTATTTATTTTTATTCATAATTAATGAACATTTCAATAAATATCTGGTTTAATGAGTAGATTTATATTTAATGTTGATAGATTAACAATACACATTTGAAGATATAATAGTTTTTTCCTTCAATTTTATTTTTTTCTTTTCCACAAAAGAGAAAGATAAAAGTTATTTAAAAACAAAAATAAAATTGAAGTATTAATTCATAAGAAATTGAAAGATGTTAGAAATTGAATATTCTACAAAGACAATAGAAAAAGAAAAAAAAGAGGATGATAAAAATAAAATGTAAAAATAAATAAAATGAGAAAATTGAATATTCATAACGATGTTATTTGATAGATTTATGAATAGTTTAAAAATGATTTAAATATAGTTTTAGAATAATAAACAAATAAATATGTTATTAATAACAGAATTAAATTGAAACAAAATTAAAAAAGAATAAAAGATATTAAATAAAAAAAAGGAACGAAAGATGAAATACAGAATTGGGAAGTTTAAGTTAACTTTGAATTTATTTCTAATGCAAAAGAAGATAACACAACAACCGTGTTATTGTTATTTGTGCCAAAAGAGTAAAATGTTTGAAATAAGTAATCCAAAAATTAAAACAACTAAGTTGTGTGTGTTGATATTACGTTCACTTAAAATGCTTCATCCTGAAATGGAGTGTTATTCAATAAAGACAGACATTAATGAATTTATTCAAAGTCATTGGGATATGTTAGTGAAGTTAAAGATATGTTTGTTAATTTCAATAACATAATGTTTTTATATGAATCTCTTGTTGATAGTTATCATTTTAAATACAAAAGGTGGTAACAAGAGAAAAGAATTGAAATGAAAAGAAAGGGGTTAATAAATATAGTTCAATCAACTCAATGGAAAAAAGCTATTCTTGATGCACTTAATCATTGTCCATTAATTGAATGTGGAAAAGACTTTTGTCATGATAGAGGGTATTATAGATTGAAAGATAATGAAACTACAGAAAAGAAAGAAGAAACACCTAATCCATCATTTTATATTTTAACTCATAAAAATTCAAAACAAAATATTAGTCAAGAACTTTATAGTTGTTATGATGATCTTCAAAGACAATTAAGTTATTCTGTTAAAGTTTTTAGTAAGTTGTATAGTAAATACTTAAGAAATTGTGATACTAAACGAAGTGAATTAGTTAGAGATATTTTAGAACGTCAGAATCAAGTTTATGATTTGTTTGGTAATTACAAATTGCAATTATGTTCTTTTGAATAGATTTGAACCATCAATCATTCGTTAAAATGTTCATTATTTTTTACTTAATTATTTGTTCTATTTTTTTATTGTTTCTTTGTTAAACTAACACTCAACTAAGTAATACTTTGAATATTAAGTGTTGAAAAAAAAAATATGATAGTCATCAAAAAAGTATTTAAGTATGAAAAAAGTTTGTTATTATTCTTTTGAATGTTAATTCAATCTTTTTTTATTTTTGTACAAATTCAAATAAGAATTAGATTCCATTAATAAAAGATCTATTCAAATATTTATTCTATTTAAATATAGTTAATATGATACTTTATTAATTTGTTAAAAATAATTAAGTTCAGGATAAGAAGATATTACATAATTAAGTTAATATTTATCTCTCAAGTTTTTAGAGTAAATAGTGTTAATTAAAAATATTTTTAT